AGAAGGAAATGGAAAAAAAAAAAAGCCACGTCAGCAGCCACGTCAGCAGACCCAGTCAGCAGTCCAGGCCAACCAGGACCTGCCACGTGGCAAAACCACGTCGACCGGGGACAGGCCATGTTGGCGATCCGCGTACGCGCGATCGGACGGCCCAGATCAAGCGTGCGTACGGACGATCTAGATGAAATCGCACGGACGGTCCGGATTTAATCAAAAAACGGACGGCTGAGATCAAAAGGCAAAAGGGTATAAATAGAACCCCCACACCAGACCACAAAAACCCTAGCCGCCTGTCCTCGCCGGAGAAGATGAACCAGACGCCGGAGACGCCGACCGCCGCCACCCGCCGCCGCACCGGGGAGATTTTCGACCGCCGATCGAGGTAAATTTCATACCCCCGACTCGTTTTTCCACGCTGATTTCCCCTGTGGCCAAATCGGAGCCAAAATCCCGGCCAAACGGCCGGAAAACACGGCCGAAACCCAGTGGGGCTGCCGCGTCCCTTCTCGATTTTTGCCTCCGATGAGGCCCTTCCCGACCTCCGTTTGATGCAATTTTTATATCACTGTGATCACCATTCTTTTCTCTACAGGTTGATCGGAGCCGAATCACCAAAACACGAACTTCACCAGAGAGCCGCCGCACCCGAGAGCACCGTCGCCGGTAAGCTTCGATTTTCCGTAATTTTTTGGCCCCCCGAGGGCCCTAGGGTTGTTTTATCACAAGGATCGATGCAAGTGTGACCGAATTCGGTCAGAAACGGCCGAAAATGGCCAAACCGAGGCGAATCGCCGCTGCAAGTGGCGACACCGTCGCCGGAGCACGACGGAGCCGCCGTGCCAGAATTGCGATATGGGCCAAAAAAGGGCCCTGGGCCTAATTTGGGATTTTTTGGAGCACGTGCAGGTACCAGTAGTGCGTTTTAGTTCCCTGAAAAAAATTCAGGAAAAATTAGGGACAGCCTGTAGGCGCACTGTGAAGCCGTGTTCGGACCCCGAAACGAGTAAGGACCCCTCACCCTATTTCCTATCACGGTATTAAAGTTCAATAAATAATAAAACGGTATTCCATGAATGAACGAATGTGTGAAATTGCTTAAGGTCGCTAATGGAGCCCGAGTATAGTGTGTTTGTCGGTTAACTGTTATTTGGCATATTTTACAGTTTTAAATGCAGTATGAGGTTTGATGTTTTCATTTTATAGTTTCGTGTACATATTTTACTGTTTTACTGATTATGGATTAAATGACTGGGATATTGATGTTGTATGTTGTCTGTTTGGCATAAATTACCGTTTTACTTGTTTGTATGTGGATTGATGATGCTGACTGAGGGAAAAGAGAATGAAAGATTATGTAAATGGGTAATTGTATAATGTGGTCAGCCTGACTAGATATCCTGGGAGATGATGGACGGATCGGGTCCGTAGGGAACTCTACCAGGATTGTGGTCTCCCATACCGGACGGGGTATGGAGATCTTATGTGTTTTGGCGCCCATACCGGACGGGGTATGGGGACGGCCCGTTTCACCCTCATACCAGACGGGGTAATGAGGTTTATAGTTTTGACGCCCATATTGGACGGGGTATGGGGACGGCCCTGGAATCTGATTTCAAGTGTTAAGGGTTAACGGGTAGCGGGACCCCTATGGATCCCCATAAATACTAGTGGGCTGGTAAATGAGGAAAATATGTTGTGTAACGATTGAATTACAAAAGGCTTGATAAGTATTATGTTATACAGTTCATATATGATTTCATGATGATGATAATATTATTGCTTTCGTATACTGTTTTATGAATTTCACCGAGGTAAGTGGATGGTGAAGGATTTATTATTGATAAAAGAATTTGTTGTAAATTATGCTCCATTGGTCCTTTGGTGTTTTCTACCCACCTTTACCTCCGTGACGGTGAGATATCGTGATGTCCTTACTGGGGTAGTGTAGCTCATTCCTTATTTAATCATTTCAGATCATGAAGACATCGTTTCCGAGCCGGTTCCGCAGGAGGACGACGAAGGGGACGCCTAAAGACTCCATAGTCATATTCGTAGCTTTTACTTTCAAGTTTCTCCTTTAGGTAGTTTGATCTTTTATATTTTATGAGCACGTTTTTGGTTTTAGTGTAAGGGATGTTAATCGAATTTTTGACTTCGCTTCCGCATTTGATATTTTTAATATATATTTCATTTTAAATTTCCGGGGCCGTTACAATTGTCGATGAACCAAGCTTCTTGGTGGAGGGTGAGTTGTTGAGGGTGGAGCCTAGGTTAGGGTTGCAGATAAAGAAGATGAAGATAGAGGAAAGAAGTGGGGGGCAATTGAGGTCGAAGGGGGTGGGGAAAAAGTTTGACATTTAAGTTAGATTTGGTGTGGATGTCATGCAACGATAACTTGGTGTCTACGTTAAACTTTTTAAACTCTACTAAAGTGCAATGCCATGTGTACCTGGCGTAACGATGCATAAATGACTTCTGTTAATATTAATAGGTTTAGAAAAGTTTAACTCAAATTTAAAAATAGAAAATAAAATTTAAATTATTTTTTAATAGTTCAGAGTGAATTTTATTATTTTATTTTTTAATAAAAGTGAGTAAAAGAAACTATATAAGTAGATATAATTGGATAATTAATTATAATTACTTAATCTAAGGTCAGCTTACCTAGGATTTTTCCATGTAAATATAATTTTGTATTTGTTTCTAATACCAATTTAATCTAGTTACATTAAATTTTATTTGTATATTTTTAGAAACACAGTATATATATGAATATATGTGTGTATATATATAATTTTCTACTAGTATATGTGTACATATATTTATACAGATTTATACCATTTATGTGGATAAATATCAAAATATTTTACTTATTAATTACAAATGAAATTTTACAGTCGAGACACACACATTAAAATATATTTACATATATATATATATATATCAAGAAAAATTAATACCAAAGAGTGAGAAGGCAATAGGACCTGAAACCTTTAAAAAATTAAAATTTTAATTTTACAAATTTTCAACCGTATTGTTTTTATTTCGCTTATTTTTCTAACAATATTCTCCAAAAGATACCACATATTTAAAATATAACATTTTAGGTAACTTTAGTTTAACCACAAAAGGAAAAATTTTCCTCTATCATTGGGTTTGATTCAATTCAATTTTAATTATAATTATATGTTTTAACTTCAGAACAGTAAATTTGTCTTTCCAGTTATTAAAAAAAAAGTTATAAGGATATAGAATTTTAGTTAGACTAAGAGTTGAAATGTTATTTCAATTAAAAAAAGTCTTTCTTATTTATATTACATTCATATTCTTACTTTATGAAATTAATATTTCAACCAACCTCAATCTTCACATAATTGAAGTACGCATTAATTTTAAAATCAATTTCATAAAAATAATCTATATACTCCAATAGTAGCACTGAACTTAATTTCATTAAGTAAGATTAAAAATTTAATTTATTAATATATTAATAAATTATAATAATTAAATTAAATTAAGTTTCAATGATTTTATTATATTTTTAAATAAAAAAATATTATGTGATAAATCAATTTTTTTTTGTTAAAATAATCATAGTGAGTTAAAAATTTTAACTAACTTTTTAAAAGAGAAATAATATCACTTTAACTAATTGAAATTTGTGTTTCTCTTCAACATAAAGAGTTGGAACTTCTTTTCATCCAAAAAAAGAAGAGTTGCAACTTTTCTTAAGCAACCGTGTTTGAATATTTCTAATAATTGAAAATGATTTCTTGGTTTCAGCACGTGAAGGTATACAAACACATGGATCTCTATTTACTTACCTAAATTATTTCATTCTTTTGATATTTTATTGGTCACTTTACTCCTTAGTATTCATAATTTTTTAACATAAAATATAATAATAAATATAATTTAAACTCAGAATCAGAAACTCTACAATATTATAATTTCTTTATCATCAATTTATACCGATAGTGCAATTGCCCCTGTGGGTTTTCTTAGCAAACAAACAAAGATTGTAGCTTTTATGATTAGAGTGAAATTAAAATGTGCAATTTGACTTCCCACAACTGGGATTGCCAGAAACTCCTTGTTCACATTTTTGCTTTTTTGGCTACGGCGAAAAAGCCAAACACGACATTTCAAACTACTGTCATAAGCTAAGATCAGCTTTTAGCAAGCTGCTTTTAGAGGAATCTTTTTTCTTCACATAATCTTTCTTGAGTTTTTTTACTTAATTAATTATCCATTTACTTTATATTTTTCTCTGCATGCGTCATATTAGGTTAAGAAAATTCTTGTACGAACAGCCCACTCAAAAGATATGGTTTGTGTTACATTAATTACCAATTATTAATTTATATAGAAGGTTAGGAGAAGGGAAAAAAAAAGAGATCTTATTAGACTCAAACGGTAGATATTCAAGCATGATAACTTATATGTTGTTCTATATCTTCATGAATTTAAAAATTTTTACTTATATTGTATCATTTAGTTTATGTAATAAAACTGATAACATTCGAAATTATACAAAATTATACACAAAAAATCTTTTTTTAGTTCTATTTAGCTCTGTCTTTTAAAAAGTATAAGCCGATCAAACTGTGTAATCAATTTAGATATCATTTATAGCCATAGATGTTTTGCCTGCATCGTTCTGTTCTTTATAATTCAAGCAAGGGAAGCTTCCTAACTTGTAAAATTAATTTGTGAGGCAGATTGAGAATAAACCACGGCTAAAGAGTTCGAATAGTAGAAAATTTTAAAAAAGTGTGATTTTATAGGTTTTTTCCTTTTTTTTTTTTAAGGAAAATGATATTAATTTTGAGGATATTTTGGTTTTGATTGGGCTTTAAACCTTCTGATTTTTTTTCTTTCTATTTTTGATATCTTTTCTTATTTAGTTGTAACCTATAAAAATATAGAGTACTATCAAGGGAATGAAACTAATTTGGAATTGAAAATTAATTTACCTATTGATTTTTTTGCTTCTCTCCTTCCATCTGTACCTCACAGGGCAATAATCAATGCAACAAGCTTCAATAGTTTATCATTCTAGCGGACAAACTTATAGATCAAAAACCTATACTGGCAAGAGAGTTGGTGGAGTAGTTCTCCTCATAGTAATCTCCATTTAGTTGATACAGCAGATTGAAGATTCTCATGCCGAGCATGGGAATTATTAAATTAAATATGGAACTATAGATTTGGGGTGCAAAGCAAGTTAGGTTTTCTTGTACGGAGTTAGGAAGGAGATGCTCCGAGATGAAACAAGAGATGAGGGTACTGGGATGGTTAGCTCCCTACGGTAAGGGTCTTGAAGATTTGAAGGGTCCTATTGCAAATCAAAATCAAGGCTAAGAGAATTTTGAAGAAACTGATCTCAAAGTTGCGCAATTGAAAAAAACTGAACAGCCAACCATGGATGGCCACACTGAATCTCTCATTAAACTAGTAGCTATCAGAAATGGCAATACCCAAGCTGAGATGCCTTAAAGATTTATGGCATTTGGTGATTGGATTGGGGTTTCACCAGATGCCGCCTTTGCTGCAAATTCAACTCTTTATGAAATCTGAAGTATGTCCATCCATCAGCAACCAAGCATCATTCAAAGAGTCTGCAACAGATGTGCAAATAATCTGCCTGAGAAAAAAGAAAAACAGTTATAATCTTACTAGGAGCCAGGAAACACATTGTACGTTTCTTTAGATCATGATCCAAAAAGGAATATGGAATAGTAGAAAAATCACTGAAATGAAATGGGAATAATACTGATGCAAAGTTCTGGGAACTCAAGAGTTTCCAAATATCAAATGAAATAGAGCCTTCAAACGTTACAAGTCTAATCCCCATATAAGCAACATGTTTTCTACATAACCTTTGATGGTAAGAGTTGAAGCGGCTGAGGACACCCTAGCGATCTGAAGTAGGAAGAAAATCTTGATTATATATGTGCATATTCACACTTTCTAATGCATTTGAAACTAGTGACTGGTGACACAAATTGCCTGTGACAGTTTGTCCAAGACAAGTTGAAGCCAAGAATAATAGTGAAAACAAAAAATAAAAAACATGAAATGGAAAACCTCAAACTTGATAAGCATACTAGGGAATGAGCACTACCAGTCTACTAAGTCAGATACAGGTTAGAGTTACTCATAAGTAAAGTGTACTCATTATTTGATTTTTGCCCACAATAAAATGCAGGCTAACTAGAAGATATATATATATATATAAAAGCTGATACAAAACTTTATGGGCTCACAAAGGGTAAAAGAAGTGTTTTCAAAAGAAGAGGATCAATTAATTTCAACAAGATCGTGCAAATTTGTTTAGTTTTCTTTGCACCACTGTATACAAATTTTCTCCATGCAATGCCAGCTTGAAGCACCGATTATGTATTATAGCCCATCCCTCTGTAAACTGAGTAAATAAATCCAAAAGCTCAATCTCCCAAGATATATTTACTGTTAATGAGGAAGCCCAGAAATTGAAGGTTTCTACTGATTACAAAATATTAAAGCATAGGCAGTAAAACACCTTACACAGTGAAGTTGTGAAAGCCGATTATGTAGTATCTTCCATGCATCTCAGTTGAAGTTGCTCTCCAATTGATCTTGTGCAAGTAAAGTTTGCATGCAAGCCTGCCGAAGTACAAATTGATTATGGACCAAAAGAGAGAATAAATACAATATCCGTGGTAGAAATAGTGTTCATGCAAATAAATGCTTATGTTATTTTCTCGATAGCTACATAAGTACTCCAGTTATTTCTTTAATTGATTTTGGAGAAAAAATATAAATTTTATTTTTTCATCTCTTTTATATCGTTACACTTGAGATATTTATAAAATTCTTAATTTACAGATAAAGAAATTATTATTTTAGTAGAATTTTAATTACATGAGATTACTATTATAATATAATTTTAATTATCATATTTTTTGAAGTTTCATGTTAATAAAGACCTAAAGATATAGAACGAAGATAAATTAGATTGCAATATTTTTAATATAAGAGAATTTTTATTTGATTTTTAGTATTTAGTATTTTTGATTTAAGGGTAACAGCTGCACTATTTCATTTTAACATTTATATCAAATTACACGTAACACATTTAGTTTTATCAATATCAATCTCAAATCACAGTATATGAAATTGAACCATTTCTTAATAATTTCAGTCAAAATTAACTGTAACTGTATTTTCATTATTATGGCGAGGAAGAGAAGGAGAAGAAAACAAGGTATCGGACTGCACAGGGAGAGAGGAGGAAGGCAATGAATAAAGGAAAAAGAAAAATGTTAAAGAAAAGGTAGCTGTTAATTTTAACAGAAATGATTAATTAAGGGTATAATTCAATAGATTGTTATAATTAGCGGGTCACACTTGTACAATTAAATGGAGGGTACGGTACAATTTAACATAAATATAGAAGTGTAAGGATATCTTTGAATATTACACCTTTAATTTATTAGTATCAGAACTAGAGTTTTAGATTAATTAAGAAAATTGTTTTGCTTTCTTTTCTCTGATATATTTGTTTGATCTTGTTCAGGATTTGGTTACTGTGACTGATACCTCAATAATTGTATTGAATTAGGGGAATATGTAAGCCCCATTGGATTAATT